CTTAGTATGGTGCATATGTTATTGAGTGGTCGGGCACAACCCGACCACTGTCTAGAATTGTTCCGATTAATCTTTCTTTCTTTCTTTCTTTTTTTCGGACAATACTTCTCCGCGGGTTTACTCCTAAACTGTTCAAGATATAAACTCGCTCACAAATTCAATGAAAGCGTAGAGCTGGGTGTGCGTGAGTACACTGCATGTACAGGACATTGTACATGTACATGCATTCAGTGCAGATCCATCATTTCATCATCGTCATGCTTGTTGGAACTGGACCAAACTGGTGGCGCGTAGTCTTGTGCTCAAGACGCTTGGTCTTCTATAACAAATCCCATAGACTTTGTGCACGATTTTTCTCGTCAGCATTTTAGTCATAAAGGAAAATTCATTATGACATTGAAACTTAACATAGTCAAAGAACATATAGCAAAGGTCGTTGGCGAAGATGGACACAATGATGACGTCATCATGTGATTTATTATGAAATTTGAATATTTATTTAAGCCCATTGACTTTTTACACAGTTTTCCACTTTGTGCCCTTCTTTTTCAAGGGACCTTTTCGGCCACTTTTCAATGGGGGCATCTTCATCAAAGTAACACCAAGCAAAGACGGAATGCTAAGATTGTGCCAGAACAATGATGGCATGATGACGTCATCAGGTGTTACGTGACAAGCAATTAAACTGTGATTTTTTTTTATCTTTAAAAATCTATATAAAATCAATAATGAGATCTGTCATCTTGCCATTTGCGGCAAGTGATAGAGTGAATTAAGGTCTTTATTTTTTAACGTGTACGTAAAATCACATGACCCTTGCTTCCAGTCGAAACCGGAAGTGGCTTATTATTGGCTTATTATTTAAAATTGGAAATAGATATGAACTTGCTTTCAACGGTGTAAGTCTCTGGCCAGACAATATTCTTCAAAACTTGTACCGGTGACGTCATGAAATTCCCGACCACCCTCTAGCGGCAGGTTTAAGAATGTCCAAAATGCATTTTGAATAGATGTCTGTGGCGAAGTGTTTTGTAATCGCCTGAAAACTGGTATATAATGACCTTCATGCAAACAACACGTGTGAAGTTTGAAGTTGATGACGTCATCAGACCGGAAGTTACAACGAAAAGACCTTCTATTCTTCAAAAATAAATCAATCCTGAGAGATATAATCGTGAATTGTCCATTGAATGATAGCTTAAACATTGGCGTGAATTGTGCCAGGTTCGTGGCTTGTTTAATTGTTCACACACGTGACCCGCTGCCGACAAAAATACCCTTATAGTAGTCCGTCGCTCAATGAAAGCATAGCGCGTCGCCGTTCGGCCATGGCATTGGGCGCGCACGCCAGCTGAACGTAGCCTGGCTTTTCGTTTGCTTTTCGCGGGCGTACATGTACAAGTTCATGGTCAGTTATTAGTACGTAGACTCTGAGAAAGTCTGAGGAGAAGTACTGTTGTCACGCGTGTACGACTAAAATAGATCGCTGCGTGCGTCTTCGCATGCGCAGTTAATGTGTCATAACGGGGGTTAAGCTTGTACACTGCATGCACACTGTGATTCGGAAAGTAGAATGTGTGCACTTACGCTGTTCGTGGCACGGCCCGGAAAGGCATCCTCGTACGAACTCTGAGCGGCGATTTGGCGAATGTAAATGTTTGTTTCTGTTTATAAATTTACCTTCGGATAGTAAGTATTATTTCGGGTTTTTTTTTCAGGCAAATGGTATTGGGAGTTCATGCTGAAAACAGCTTACCATTTAAAATTGCTCCAGTTATGATCAGACACATGAATGCATGCAAATCAATGAACATGCATCCTCTCCGAATAACATCAGTATTCACTACCCATATTCACTTTTTCTACGTTTAAAAAAAATAAATACATACTGACATTGATCACTACCTAAAAGAAATTTGTTTCAACAAACTGATTAATTTTATCGGACGGTTTAAATTTCGTTATCCTTTGTACATGTTCTTACATAAAAAAATATTCATAATTTAACTGGACAGTGTTTCATAAAATAGTTGTCTACCCGACCACTCTGCATTTGTAACAACAAACGCAAAGCTCTAGTTTTTCTTTTGTGTTTCTTGTGTTACCAACATCAATTTATACTCAACAAAACCTTCAAAATTGGTATCATGAATATGCGTTGTTGTAATTTTTATCAAAAACAGGCTAAAATTATAACATTTTACGCAGTTATTTGTGACATAAAAATGGACCATGATAAAACTTAACCTTTTTCTTTTGGGGAGGGGGTACCTTGGTTATTTGTGAACTGAATGATGGTTAACCCATTGTTTTTTTGAAAATAAAACTCACATTTTATAAACAACTTGATATTTTCTTATTATAAAAGGTTTCGCAAAAATGGGTTTCAAGTGTAAACTTTTGGTGTCCCGTTTTACACGCGAAATTGTGTACCTATTACTGGTTGTTCTAGCCATACCAACTACTACAGCCTTGTTATTTTCATGTATAATGTAAGCCTGTACTTGGTTTTAAATCAGAGAGTGATGCTTGTCCGATGTGCGGCATATATTCTTCCGCGTCTGCGTCTGCCCTTATAAAAAAGAAAATTGAGATCAGAGGTCATGCAAAAACAATTCTTTGGGGTCAGACTTCATGACATGTTGTAGTATTATTATTAAAAAACAACGTTTTTTTGCTCTATATAATTAGACTTCAGTCATGAAAAGTGGCATTTGCAAGATTAAACATGATAAATAATACCAGTCAGAGTATACAAAGTTCATTGACCTCGTAAAGGTCATCAGAGGTCAATTATGAAATGTCTACACATCTGAAAATTAATATCATGGCAAGAATACCCAAAATTTTAGATATGGGTAATAAAAAAAGTGGTGTTTTGAATAGTTCATCCTCTTAATATCTTTCAATAGGATGCACAAAGTTCATTGACCCCTTAAAGGTCAACATAGGTCAGACATGAGATTCCCTTCATATGAAATTCTTTTCATAGCATGAGCAACTTAACATTATGACTTGGTTCTTAAAACGTTGGGGTTTAAAAGGGGTAGGCCTAAATCATATAAATAACTCTAGATAGAGTTAGTGCAGTTAATACAAAGGTCGTTGACCTCTGAAAGGTCATCAAAGGTCAAGTGTGAATTTTTTTCTGCATTTGGTTGTTATTTACACTTTACATAGACTTAGGTTATAGGAATGTGATGTTTTCAAGAACAGTAGGTATAACATATAAATAGAGTATTCAAAGGTCATTGACCCCTTCAAGGTCATCAGGGGTCAGATATGACATGCCTCCATATCTGAATTTTTTTCCTCATGGTATGAAGACCTCACATGCCAAGTTTTATGCTTTTATCACACAAAGGAACAATTCTGTCCCTATGCCGCACCACTATTTAAAATGACACGCTGATCATGTCCTTACATTCACGGTTGACTGAGCAGTGACCAATTTTATGAAAGGGTCTATTTAGAGACTTCGCCACTTTTCATGATGAAATCTCTTTTTTCCCCACCTGCCTTGATTGGCAACCATAGCTTTCACCTGAAAGGGCGCCCTCTAGTTCAAAATCATAGACAAATTAAAATCTTTTGAATTCAAAACCAATTATCAGATTTTTAGTGGACAACAAATAGTGGACAAATGGGACGATCCAACAAAATGTAACAATATTGTTGACCCTTGTAATGTGGGATATGCCGTTGTTAATAACCAAGGCAAATGTTGTGCCAATAAGTCAAATAGATAAATGGTTGTAACTTGCAATGCAAGAAGTAAATAAAAGAGCCCATGTAAGGGATTTTTTTAATGCAATCCTTAAAATGTCCCCTTTGTGTTTCATTTCTTCATATAGCCATTTTTAAAGGGAAGATACAACATTTGCAAACATCAAAACACAAAATGATAAAATTATCACAAAAAATTAAACTGGATTGTTAGGGAATGACTGTATAAAGCATCCTGTAAAATCGTGGCTCCTGGCATGCTGAAATTTTCAAGAAAACTCCTATTTTTCCAACGCTGGTCGGCCGACCAGCGTTGGAGAAAACTGGGTTTTCTTCAAAAACTGCTCCAAATTGTTCATATTTAGTTATTCTTCACTTTCTTTGCAATTGATTGCACACTTGTGAATGGGTATGAGCCTGCTAGACAGATTCTTTGACCCTACGATTCCCCAAAGTCTACAAGTTGCTCCATTTCATCTTAAGTGGGGTCAGGGAACCAGACTACAAGAACATGGTTAGTTTTCTTGGGATTTTCCAGCATCTCCAAACCCAAAACGTGAAGCAAGTCAGTTTAACAATATTTTCTGTAACACACTTATCCTCCAGATCCATTTATTTCTGAAAATTGCAGCAAAAGCAAATGTTGTGCATTCCCTTTAAGAGCATTTTGGTGTCACCTTGTTTGGTTTTCATGCTAATGCAATTTTTCATATTCATGAGCAAAGCTGTGATGTGATTCAAACTTCTGCCAGGGTTCGCAATTAGAGGTAGCCCACTAGCCAAATGCTAGTCAAAACAGCAGTGGGCTAGTCAAACTATTCCTTAAGTAGCCCGGCTGGTGAGTCAAAAGAGTATTGGGATGGGGCAAAGATGAAAGGACAGGAAGAAATAAATCATGAAATTCAGAAATCAAACCATCAATTTGTGTATAATTTTATAAACTGTTTTAAAGGGATAAAATATAAGATCTGTTTATTAAAAAACTGACAAAATTGCCTCAGAATAGATGAAAAATCAGTTGGAAATGGGTGAAAGCGAATTTTACTCATGACCTGTTTTCGTACCTCCTTGTTCGATCACGTCTGTTTTCACATCGCGTACTTAGGTGAGAATGAAAATGATTACGACATGAAGATACCCACCTACATCTGATGGATTCTTTATTTCGTTTGGATCATGTGTTTAATACAGTTCTAATAAATGGTCATTTTAGAAATGAAAAAAAATCCTTCAAGTTTGTTCCAAAAAATTGTCTGCCACAATACTATTCCATAAATTTTCATGCTTATATTGTGATCAAGTTCCACAAGTCCACATGGAAGTTTTCGGAAGTGACGGGTCAATTTTTGGCACGATATTTCTCCTTCACGTCATGCGATTTTTCAGTTTCCATAAGTTTGAGGGTGATTTTATAAGAAATCAAGGAACGTAACTAATTTTGGAAATTCTGATTTTAACACGTTAATTTTCCTTTTTGAGGGGCCCTGAAGCGCGCCACCAGGGGTCAACTTTCACAGGCCTATACACATTTTACAGGTATGCAAATTATTAGAAAAAGACATGCGGGCTAGTGAACATGCCCGCGGGCTAGTTAAGAGTCTATTTCAGTAGCCCGGCTGGCTAGTGAAAAAAAATAATAAGGTCGAGCTCGGTTTCTGCATGATTTTTGCATGACTTTTGAATGTAAGAATAAGTAATTACCTTTGTTTTTCTTAACTGTTCTAGATGTGCAGCTTCTGAATATGGCATCAGTACACCAACTCTGGTGAACCCTGCAAAGCAGTTTAGTTCCTTTGAAGACGAAATGGATGAGGTGAAAATCAAAGTTCATTATTTCTTTTAAAAGAAATACAGTGGGGGTTATTTAAATTTTTGCCTTGTCAACAAGGAAGTGGGTCGCAACTACACTGAGTTTTCAAAAAAAAAACATGTTTTGAGAGATTTGAAAGCGTGCATTATACATGACCCCAGTAATGTACATGTACGTGTATGTTTTTGTCATTATCAGGGTTGTTAGAGGATTTAGAAGGATACTCAACTAAAGTACTTAGGCCTCTGAAAATGTTGTGTCTCCGGTAACATTGCCAAAAATGAGAGGTTGATAGGTCGATTTTAAAAAAAATTAGTTGTTTTTTTTAAACATACTTAATTGTTTACTTGTATGTACACTGTACCTACATGTATATGTACGTGTAGACATGTATGTGTTTGAAGGTACTTTATTGCAAGTTTTCAGACTTGTTTTCCCCCTTAAAAAAAAACATTTAAACGCAATGACCCTAAAACCTGTCTCGTCCACACAAAAAAGAAAAAAGTATTGTGTGTTTTGACTGTTTGGATCTGCAAAGAAAAAGACACAAAATACTTGTTTCAACAACTGTCACCAACTGTAGTACACAATGTTTTGATTAACAACCCTGGTTAGGCAAACAATATGATTAATAAAATTTACTTTTTTTAAAGACAGGCCTTCAAAAAGGACTTTGTTGCATATTGTTAACGTTTAAACTAAGATTTCATCGCTGGTGATGTCTGAAGACAATTGTCATGACGATTTTCATGACGATTGTTGAAATCGCATTTTTTTTTTTATGAGACAGGTTTTAGGGTCATTGTGTTCAAATGGTGATATTCTTTGAACGGATTGACCAATTTCAGTATTTTTTCATCTAAACGTAGCTTTTGAAATTGGCTTTCCAGTTATCATTTTTGGAGCCCTTTTTTTTTTTAAATATGAAATATAATTTTGGGCCGGGTTCCGCTTTTTTGGACTCACCCTGTACAGGTAGTATGCATTCTTTCCATACAAGTGTGCACAACGCACATAATATTCTGTGCTATGTACTTGACCCTCAGGGGGTTAGGGTTTATAAGGAGAGATTTTGTTGTCATAAATTATACCTAAGGGAGACATTTTAATGTCATTTTAATGTCTCCCTCATGTCACAGCTCCTATTTAAAGGCGAAATTTTATTGCCCTAAATAGGTTAGATCAATTGCTCGTGGTCTAAAACATAATACTAACATTTGGGGTTAGGGTTCATTCAAGAAAAATAGTGTGCACAAGTCTATGGGAACGTCTCCCAATTATTATTTTACTAGCACAATGGGATAAGAGGTCTTAAACTTATCTGTTGGTACAAGTGGAGTCAAGCTGGGTCCCGTAGTCTCAGATCTCGAGCGTCTTCCTGAGGATCATAGTTGTTCTTAGAAGAGCCGCCTTCTGTAGCTATTCCAACTGCACAGTCATGCCAATCTCATTGAGACGTTTCTCCAGGGACATGGGAATAGTATTAGTACCCAGGGCCCCCAATACGAGTGGAATCACCTTGACCCTCCACATTCCACAACTTCTGGAGTTCCCTCGCCTGATACTTTGACACCTTTTCCTTTTCCTTGCTTGCTACTCTGGTGTCACTGGGCACATTCTAATTTATATTGTTATATCGTGTGCTTGGATACTGTAATTCTATCTTTGCCTTCGTTACATTCATCTGCAGTGCCTGGTCTTGTGCAGCAGGTCTTGTTTCCTGCCACCTCCTCAATGCCTCTGAGAAATGGTCCATGAAGTGGCTTTCCTTCCCAATCTCTGACCCTTATTTCTTGGCCAACTTCAACAATCTTTCCTGAGCCCGACTGACATATTCCTGCAGACTATTCTTCTCGATGTTAAAACAATCCTCTACACTCATCAACCCACCCACCCACCTTCTGACTTTAGCAGGTAAAGACTGCTGACAGTTGCCCTCAGAATTTCATTAGGACATTTCTGTGGGAACCCTGCCCATATCAAAAATTTGGTATTTTGTGAATTTTACATCCAATGATAATGAATTTTTTTAAATGGGCATTGATAATATCAGATTTCCTTCAAACAATAAACCATTTTTGTGGATACCGTAAAAGTGGTGCTCTCCTTCATTGATCACTAATCCTTTTCTTGTTGCCAGTTGAAAGTGCAGCAGATCCCAGAACAGGACATTCCTGCCCCGAGTGACTCCACCTTTCATGACGTCATGAGTTTTTTCATCCAGGGCTATGACTGCACAACTGTGGAGCACTTTGCTCAGTACACCCACAACTTGGCAAAAAATATGCATCTTAAGATCTTTGACAGGTAATCCAACCTTCCATCTTCGCACAAATTTGATTTTATGTTTTCCTTGGCCAGTCAGTCCAATGTGACTTCCCCATTGGGAATTGGAAGCATGTGTCGCATTATACAAATATAATATGGTTTGAGGGTGGACAGTTGATATTCGCTCCCAGAGATATTGGAATTTGACAAACTAGTTCCCGAGGCGAAGCCAAACTAGCTTCCAGTACCGAGTGGAGCTAATATCGACTGTCTACCCGAAATAAACCATGTTATGTTTGTTTTACTATACCTCATACATATCAGTTGCCGATATTTTTGTAATTACAAAATTTTCGGAAAAACTTGTACAGCTCACCAAAAGAATATATTGTTGCTCAACTTCACTAGTTCGGTTCGTTTGTAATACAGTACCTACAGTCGTAAATTCAGTTGTTTGTGTACAACTTTCTTTTGTACAGCAAGTATCTTTATTAGGTGTGGGGCAGAGCCCAACACCTATTGTTATTTAAAGAATTTACTAATTTTTTTTATTCTTCAAAACACATTCTTCTCCGGAACTGTTTGTCAACATGAAAAGTGATGTTAACTTCAATTGTCAATACATGAATGCACAACCCACTGAAGATGGGCTTTTTTGTAATTACGTCATCATAACGTCATCATGGGTCACGTGACATCACTTCAAAAAATAATAAATTTAATATTTGAAATTCAATATAAAATCAACCATGAGAGACTGGAACTTGAATATGGCGGGAATCGACATGATAATACATGATCTTCATTTTATCTTGTGCGCGTCAAATCACGTGACCCTTCCTTCCAGTCGAAACCGGGAGTGCTTAACAATTTGAAAGAGGAAAAAGATATGAACTTGCTTTTAACGATGTTAGTTTTTGACTAGGTTGACCTTTCCAAACAAATTATTGGTGACGTCATGAAATGTTCGATCGCCCTCTAGTGGCTGGTTAAAAAAACGTCAAAAACGCATTTTCAGTTGATGTGTGTGGCAAAATTGGCAGTAATCGCTTCAAAATTAATATCTATGATGACCTTGATGCAGACAAGACCTGTGTGCGAAAAAAAATTAATGACATCATCAGACCAGAAGTAAATAATGAAAAGACCTTTAAACCTTAAAAAAAAAAAAAATCAACCATGACAGATATATCAAGATTTGGCTTGATTTGCCATTGATCTCCATGATTTTGGATATCAATGGTATGCGCTTAGTACATTATTTCCCAAAGTTTAGTTGTTTCAACAACTAAAATACAAGTTAAATGTTCGTTTTATTTACTATTGAGTGGGAAAAATTGTGATGGTGATTTACTTGCAATCAACAATCAACATCAACAACAATTGACATGAACACGAACAATCAACATTAATAATCAACAATCAACATCAACAATGTACACATCAACAATCAACATCAACAATAAACAATTAACAATCAACATGAACACAAACAGTCGACATCAACAATCAACAATCAACATCAACAATCAACAATCAATATCAACAATCAACAATGAACCATTAACAATCCGAACAAGCATTATATTCTGTTCATTAAACAAACATATTTCTTGCCATCAACACAAACATGTGCTTGCCCAACACCGTGTGTTTGTACCACTAACTCTAGTTGTCCATAAATTTTCTCCAGTCCGGCAATTATATAATTTACGCGAATCGTGCAACCATGCATCTCTCTTGGGCGATGTTCGCGTGTGAGTACTACACTCGTGCAACAGTTCCTCGATTGCTTTGTAAAGCTCATGTGTAGTAGATATGCGTTTTTAGCCTGTGCGAGAATCTTCGGGGTGCGTTTGGTACACAGCAAGAATAACATCTGGCATGTGATGGTGAATTGACCAGTGAGAGTTAGGCTCTCTATCATGAATATGTATGAGGTACAGAAATACTTTTTATACAAACATTGCATGATTGCACAGACATTTGCCTTCTCAAACGAATGTCTTTGATATTTTAAACCTGTTTCTTGTTTCATTAGTCTCTCTTCAGGTGTTTGTGCAGGCAACCCTTTCGAATTCCTCTAGTATGCTGGCCCATTCTTGTTCAATCAACTTCAGTGTAAATTAAATATAAAGTGATAATGGGTGGACTTAAACTTTCTCAATCTTGCAAAATCCCCAAAACCTCTCTGCGGATCTTGGAGGATGTGCAATGGTTGAGGTATAATCCAACCATAAAATCTAATGGAATGACAATTAATTAGACTAGGAGCTTTGTTTGTGCAAGAGGAACTTAAGTTACAAACTAATTCACGGGTTTATGTCTTGTTTTCTTAATAGCTTTGCAATGCCCACAAAGCAAACACTTGTACACACCATTCAAGCCCCTGGCACATCCGAGAAACTCAAACCCAGAGACTTCATGTTAGCGACACATGGGCGAGTTATACAGGCAAGTCATATTCAGTTACAGATGTTTTAAAAAGCAAATCTAAAGCGTGTCATACGTTTTGACATTTAGGGTTTTAGAGATAGATTTGCCATCAAACAATATAAATAAAGTTTGTTTGTATATAGCAAGGACAAAAAAAAATAAGGAGCATATTCTTTCTGCACCCACTCTGGCCAAAATCTGAAACATGCAAGGTCAAATCGTTGTTTTTACATTTATGTTTGGCTCGACGTTAACAAGGATAAACGTTTACAGCCTCCATGCATTGCACCTGAGGATTCCTTGAGCGAAGTGGAATTATTTCGTTAAGCCAATGTAAAATGATATGTTTGACATAAAACCACACTGATATAGTAATGATTATATTTATTGTCATGTAAGAATAATTTTGAGGACGTTTGTTCAGACAGAAATAAGTACCAGTTGTTGAAAGCAGTGTTCTAGTCAAAGTCTTTTCCATGAGTTCATGTTCATTTCAATGAGTATGAGTATGAGTACTATTCCATGAGTAATGATACATTTCCATGGGTACACATATTTACTAGTACTTTTCACACAATAGTAAAAACGAGATGAACGTAACACATGAACAAATGTGAACCGTTTATTAAACCCAAACAACTTTACACAATAGGACAACTTAATTCACAAGTATGACCGGAGTCACGCATTCAATAGTAAATGTTTCAGGACAAAAGTGAGATAAGATTTAAGTTAATATGGTTTAATAGTGGTTGGTGCTTAAACTTGCTCTACCATTAAATTTTTTTTTTATAATCGGGTGGGAGTCGTCAATTGCTAATGTTAATGAACTTGCAACAATCAAGGTTTATGTTTTCTAATGTTTATGTTTGTAACTTTTAATTTTGACTATTTGAATCCTGCACATGAACAAACAAAAATGAAGTCATCGCAAACAGGGGACGGGGGGGTGGGGGGGGGGGTGTATGTACCTGTTTTACATCCAAAACAATTTCATTTTAACAACTTACACGTACATGTAAATAACTCCCCTGATTGAGAAAGATTAAACAAACGTAACATTACCTTTGGTGCATATGAACAGTTTGTCTTTAATGTAGTTGTACATTCTGCACAGGGTGCACACAAGTGTCTGGAGGTGTGGTTTCACAGGCTATATCATGCAGTGCATACCGTAGCTACATGTTAATGTACATGCAGCTGTGCACATAATCAACTGTGTGCTGATGTTCAGCCTTCATGCAAGTCCATATTTTTTTTCATTTTTATTACACTGTATTTTTTAAGAGCATGAGTACAAGTACTTTTCCATGTGTGCAGTGGTGGGTGAAAAAAGGCCTTTTTAAAATGCTGCAGGTTACAGAATTGTTGGTTCCATCTGCCTCATTGGGTGCTTGGGGCTCAGTGTAAAGCAAGGCAAGGGCCGGGACGTTAACACTGCACCAGACAAACAATGAAAGATAAAATCAAAGATGTCAGCTCTTCGCATATCAAGCTGGAATGTTAGAACCATGCGCGCAGGGCTCTTAGACAGCCTTGACCACAAAGACGACTCTCGCAAGACCACTATCGTTGACCATGAGCTCAACTGACTCAATGTCAACATTGCTGTTCTTCAAGAAACCCCACTCGCAGACTGTGGTTCCCTAAAGGAGAAAAACTACAATTTCTTCTGGCATTGCAAGAGCGCAGAAGAGACCTGAGAACATGGCGCACGGCTCTTAGACAGCCTTGACCACAAAGACCTGGAAAATTAGTCCAATTCTCTTGCCAGCGGGCACAGTCTTTTGCTTCGTAAAAGTCTGGGAACTAGACCGTACAACTAATTCCCATGCAGTACAGGGATTCTGCTTGTCTGCCTGCAGTGAACCTGGATGTTTAATAGGGAGATAATAATAATCTACACATGTATGTATATATATAAGAGAGAGTTTAACTCGGCCTCCGAGACGATGTTTGCTCATGAAAGGATCCGAGACCGCGGGCTCCCGCGGCGCCAAAATCGCTCCACGTCCGTGGAAAAATGCGGAGGGTGTCTTCCGCCGGGTCGGACACTTCGGGTCGTCCTGATTTTCCCGTACGGACCGGCGATCCGTTTCGTCGATTTTTCGTGACTGCGTTTTGCGCAGGAATTTGCCGTCGTGTGCGCTTTCACGTTGACTGCCTGGCCGCCCCCTGTGCTGGCTTTTATGCGTGTCTAGACTGTGCGAGGTCAGCGGCTTCGAATTAGGGGTTGCGTTTACGTGTTCTACTCGGCTGTTCTGCAAAAGTATTTACCAAACGGTAGCATGGGGTGACCTTGGCAAAATATTTTTTCTCCATGGTGCGTGGCTACCAAGTGTCCCTATTCTTTCCTGTGCTTCGCTTGCCGACCCTGCGCCGAGTGCAACGAATACTCAGAAGGACTACACATTAGTATGCCTTGCGCGGTCTGACCAATCGAAAGTCTACACTGCGTAGTACTTCCCGGCTATGCGTAAAATCGTCGATGGCAACGCGTACTGCAGCTTGCTCTACACCCTGGAAACGAGGTTGGGTCTACGGTGCTCGCTATTTGAAGTGCAAGCATTGAGACGTGCATGAGAGCATAGAGCAAGCTCTATGGATAGAGTGCTGTTGCTTCCATCAAGGCTGAGCCACGTTTTTGTGATGTTCGTGCCTACCACGTATAATTCAGTGTCGCGTTATAATTTCGGGGGCCTGTTTTTGGATCAACGAAGGATCGATGCATTGCTTCAAATATCGCGATCTTTGAACTACGTTGCATAGATAATAATATCCATTGGTGGACGTTGTTGGCTGTTTGGCCTTGCTTATGTTGTGGTTGAAAGGCCAACTTATATAAAAGTTAAATTGAGTTTTCCATGCAGGTCTCGCAAATTATAAAAAGTATCAAGTTTACGTTTGTTGAAGAGTCCAATACTGTAACTTAATTATGACCTTCCTCCATGATTCAGACTTTGTAATTTTATGGTATAACACTCAACATTTCCATTGCAACTTGACACCTTCACGTTTTATTGCATTATGATTTATTGTCAAAACTGTACAAAATGCCAACTTAACAGACCAACCGGAAAGTTATACATGCCATGGTACATAATTATCATGGGCGTCAATCGGTGAGGGACGGGGACCCCCACCCCAACATTTTAAAGCGGGATATCGTTTGGTCTCCCCCCCCCCCCCTCACACTTTCTCCCCGAATAAAAATTGTAGCCTACTGTAATTATTCTATTACTCAGAATAGCTGATTCAATGACTCCAAAATCGAAAATGATGTTTAAAAGATGATCTTTTGCTCAAAACAATTGGTTTTTACTATAATAGTAGTCAGAAATTGCCTGAGATTGCACCACAGAAATTGCTTTTCTATAACTGCATGTCTTCTCAACTAAATCCCCCATTTACATTTAACTCCCTACATTTTCAACCCCAACACAAATACGCCCTACCCGATCTATGATCGGGTAAATCAGCTTGTAATAATAATATCGGAGTCTAATAAAGCGCACGTATCTACCAACTATTAGGTACTCAAGGCGCTGGAGATATGTCTATTATTAAAGAACCTAGGTAAATAAAGTTTATGAGAAATATGAGACCCATTATGTAGCACCTTATAAGGGTTTACAAGGTGCTGCGGCGCATATTGCAGCCACTGCCAGAAACACCGGGGCAAACCCCTTCTCTTAGCGATAAGTGTTACTGGGTTCTTTAACGTGCATTACACAACACACGGGACCTACGGCTTTACGTCCCATCTGAAGGACGAAGCCATAATGGTAAAGTGCCTTGCTCAAGAGCACAAGCACCATGTTCCCACGGTCAGGATTCGAACCCACGTACCACGGCACACGAGTCGAACACCGTAACCATTGGACCACACAACTCTAGCAGTCTCTGCCCATTCTCATTCATGCTTCCCACTGTGAAGTGTCCAAGGCGGTCTGGCCAGGATTCATGGTCGGCACCAACCCTAGCATTGAAACCCCCAGGAGGAACAGATGTTCGTTCTTTGGGATGATGCTGATGGCCATGTCAAGCTCCTCATAGAACTTGTCTTTTGACTCAGGGGGAGAGCAGAGTGTTTTTTTCACAGCTGCATGTACATTAACATGTAGCTACGGTATGCACTGCATGATATAGCCTGTGAAACCACACCTCCAGACACTTGTGTGCACCCTGAGTGCAGAATGTACAACTACATTAAAGACAAACTGTTTATATGCACCAAAGGTAATGTTACGTTTGTTTAATCTTTCTTAACCAGGGGAGTTATTTACATGTACGTGTAAGTTGTTAAAATGAAATTGTTTTGGATGTAAAACAGGTACATACACCCCCCCCCCCCACCCCCCCGTCCCCTGTTTGCCGATGACTTCATTTTTGTTTGTTCATGTGCAGGATTCAAATAGTCAAAATTAAAAGTTACAAACATAAACATTAGAAAACATAAACCTTGATTGTTGCAAGTTCATTAACATTAGCAATTGACGACTCCCACCCGATTATAAAAAAACAACAAATATAATGGTTTGCTGGAAAAAATAAAGGACTCCTTGAAATCATGGAGTATTAGAGAGCAAGTTTAAGCACCAACCACTATTAAACCATATTAACTTGAATCTTATCTCACTTTTGTCCTGAAACATTTACTATTGAATGCGTGACTCCAGTCATACTTGTGAATTAAGTTGTCCTATTGTGTAAAGTTGTTTGGGTTTAATAAACGGTTCACATTTGTTCATGTGTTACGTTCATCTCGTTTTTACTATTGTGTGAAAAGTACTAGTAAATATGTGTACCCATGGAAATGTATCATTACTCATGGAATAGTACTCATACTCATACTCATTGAAATGAACATGAACTCATGGAAAAGACTTTGACTAGAACACTGCTTTCAACAACTGGTACCGTAATTTTCGGAATATAAGCCGCGGTTTATATGTTGATTTTGCCCATGAAAATGTTTACTGCGGCTTATACACAGGGCGGCTTATACGCCGAGCCTTGAAGAATAAAAATGAAATTCACATGTGTATTTAATGTTCTGGTATAAGAAGAGATATGTTGCTGAAATTAATTATCAATTAAGAAAGTCATTAACGAACCGAAACCACATGCCACGTAAAGGTGCCGAGCGGTAAAACGTACGGTGAAAGCTGTCTTCGATATCGACGCTTGCAACAAGCCGTACGTGATTCTAGTGCTGCTGCATGCAGCATGCTTTCCCCAGCGGACCACACCATTTGAGGTAATATAGGGGTGTACTATCTTGGAAACAATAATTACCAACATTTCCGCTGTCTAGAAAAAAAGACGACTAATACTTTTTATGGTGTCCGAAACATTTCTTTATTCGATAATCAGTTGTTCAACGTCACAATATAATTTTTGTACTTGAAATGTATTCAAGAAATGATGTAAACCTCAAAACAGGGACTACATCACCCCTTACACAATTAATGGATTCGTCCATGAAAATGGGAGCATCATTTTGACTATTTTTGAAGAAAGTTACGATCGAAACTTGAATTCTGCTCGTTAGTAATCACAAAAATTTGATCAGTTTTGAGATAAAAACGGACCTGTATATTTTTAGGACAAAACAAATCAACATCTGTTGCCACAAAGCAAGATTTGTACATAGCGCTCCAGTCAGACAACACACGCAATGGGGGAAAATCACGGTGGGTTGCATACTCTCTCACGTGCTGCAGGAAAATGTTGTCATAGGCCGGCGCGGCGCAGGCCGGCGCGCCGGGCGATGTATTAACTTTTACGGCCGGGGACCGGACGGGCAGCCGGCAGCAATTCCCGGTGTTTATTTCTCATCATCAATTTCCACATATCGATTGTAAATGATTTGATGCAACTTTTGTGGCCCTTTTTATAGCTTCTGTAGTGTAAATGGAAATGGTTCAGAGCATTTTGGCTAGAATTTGGAGGCCTTACAAAATTGAAACCGCTGCCGTCGGTGCGGCTTATACGCCGGTGCCGCTTATACCGACTTCAAATCTTAATTTGCAGATTTTTGCGTGCTGCGGCTTATATGCCGCGCGGCTTATATTCTGAAAATAACGGTACTTATTTCTGTCTGAACAAACGTCCTCAAAATTATTCTTACATGACAATTAATATAATCATTACTATATCTGTATGGTTTTATGTCAAACATATCATTTTACATTGGCTTAACGAAACAATTCCACTTCGCTCAATGAGGTCATGATGCTGATGAGATACAGCGTAAATGAGATACAGCGGTAATATAAATACAACGTATTGCTACCAATCTAAGTTGTGGTAGCGCGACATGGCGCGTGACAACATACCAACTGAGCATCAACGTACATGTACTGTATGGGATGTACGTACGTATGTCTCTGCAACTGGTGGCATGACTGGCGCGTTGGCCAGGCAGCTTCATTGTGTTTCGGCACGGCACAGAGACTTTTTTATCGGTAATTTTAATCAATAAAGTAATGAACTCGAAGCACGCTTTTAATCAGACCTCAACTGCTTTTATATTTGGGCGTCATTTTGGGCGTCATTTGTTTATATAGTGCTAGAAAAAAAAACACTAAACAGCCGGACTAGTGCAGTCATACACTGCACTAGACTGACACTGAAATCACTAGACATGGTCCACGGTCCAGTGGATATTTCGAGCCCTGTGTACAAGAACAAGGGTAACAACTACCGCAGCATCTCTCTGTTTAGCACTGTGGGGAAGGACTTCTCATGCGTTGCCCTTATCAGGCTCCAGCTCGTAGCGGAGCGTGTCTACCCCGAGTCACAGTGTGGCTTCAGGGCAGCAAGATCCAGGAGAAATGCCTGCAGGAGAAATGCCGTGAACAGGGGAGACCCCTGTATCTCGCCTTTGTCGGCCTCACAAAGACCTTTGACCTTGTTAGCAGAGATGGTCTCTTCAAGCTGCTTGCAAAGATCGGTTGCCGTCCAAAACTTCTCAGCATCGTGACCTCATTTCACAACAACATGCAGTGCTTAGTCTGCTGTAATAGAGAAACTTCAGAGGCCTTCCCATCCCAGTCCGCAGCGGAGTGAAGCAGGGCTTTGTTCTTGCACCGACCCTCTTCAGAATGTTCTTCTCTCTCCTGTTGTCCTTTGCATTTGGCTCTGAAGACGTCGTTTGCATTTGGCCCTGAAGACGTCTACCTACACTCCAGAGCTGACGGCAAACTGTTCAATTGTGCCTGCCTGAGGTCCAAGACGAAAGTGACCAGTGAACTCCTGAGGGAAATGCTATTTGCAGACGATGTTGCACTAGCATCCCACACAAAGACAGGGCTGCAGCAGCTGTCTTGGGCCAAGAATTTGAAACCCCACCCTCCATCTCTATCAACAACAAGACTCCTGACTGTGTGGGTACCTTAATGGACCTTGGGTCAACAGTCTCCAACAACCTGCCAGTTGACGCAGAACTGAGCACCTGTCTCGCAGGGCTGCGAAAGTGATGGCCAGGCTTGCACAGAGAGGGTGGTCTAACAAGAACCTAACTGTGTGGACAAAACTCCAGGTCTACCAAGCATGTGTCATCAGCACTCTGCTGTACTGCCTATGCCGCATCCTTGGCATCACATGGCAGGAGGAAGTACCCAACACGGAAGCCCTGGCACGTGCCCACTCCATCAGCTTGTTCACCATTTTGAGCCAGCGCCGCCTCAGATGGCTCGGTCACGTCCACAGGATGGACTCCAGTCAGTTCCCTAGGGCCACCCTGTATGGCGAGCATTTGTCAGGCTCCAGGCCAATTGGTCATCCGTACCTACACTTTAAAGACGTCTGTAGACGCGACATGAGGCAGGCTGGCATAGACCCAGACAGCAGGGAGGAAGCTGCCCAGGATCGCAGTGCTTGGAGGCAGACAGTTGCTGCAGGGGTCCACTGTGCTAATAAGAGGTGCACCTCCTTGCTGTAGGACAAGAGGCAGAGGAGGTTATTGCGAGTAGTAGCCCCCACCCCTGTGTCAGCCCCCCTCTCCCTTCGTCTGCGCTAACTGCGGCACAGACTGTCATACAAGAGTTGGACTGAAACGGCTGCTGCAACAAAGATGACAACCCCCCGGGTGCAGTCCATCGTCAGTATTGACAGACAGATGCCTACTACTACTACAGAATTGTTGGTTCCCTGGGTTAGGAAAAAAACTTGCATGTTGGAAAGCATGGAGTCAGCCTACCGAATTCAAAGTTGGTTTGATAATTCACGAGCTCTCATTCATCACCAACAATGTAGAGATAAGTTGTTAACCAGTCATTGTAGCGCCTGAAATCACATGGCATATTACTCACTGTAGCACCTGAAACCTCCTGAGCACTCTATGATTTTTATCAATTTTTCAGTGAAAAAAATGCAATGTACACTGGCTCCCAAACAATTACTCTGGCTCCCAGTGGCCCAATGCATTCAGTTCCACACATTGGTTCTTACAAAGTTTACATATCACTGAATCACTCTGCACCAGATTATCCCTCCTCTCTCCTCACAATCCAGACCCTCCTTACTCCCTTCATTCTTCTGCAGGAGAGTCCCTTTTCCAGGAGCGTCCTAAGTCACATAAACAGGCTGGTGACAGGGCCTTCTCCATTGCCGCCCCCCGGTTATGGAATAGCCTAACCATCCCCATCAGAAATTCTGGCAGTATTTTTTCCTTTGAAAAGGCTCTCAAGACCTAGTCTTTTCGCCGTGGTCTATTATCCGCGAACAGATTTGCTGATTAATTAGGCAAGACCCTGCCTCACGACTTAACCAATCAGCAGGCGCTTTCTATAGGCCTATTGGGTCTTCAGTCATTCACCCGCTGCGCCTCATAGACATGGATTAAAAAAACTGTCACGGCATGCGGCACTCGGTATCATGTTACAGGAATGCGCTCCCGGTTGTTGTTGTATTACAAAACACTGGGTTCGAATTGACCAATCACAGCGTTAGTCCTGATTTGGGAATGAAATGACGTCACGATTTAGTAAAGTCGACTCCCATTGGCTGGCGCGCAGCTTGCATAAATTTGCATGTCAGGAGATGACAGACGTGCGCCTGGAGATAGATACATGTAGGGCTCTGTGGAGAACGGGTGATACTCAGACTACTCAAGACCAACCTTCCCCCAAAATCATAGCTGGCTGTCCTCTTTTCTTTTCAATGAAATGGTACATTAGACTGCCATTGCATGTAGAAATCTCAGATGAGTAGAAAATTCACCAAATGATTTTTTCTGGTAAAATTAAGATGAACAAAAGTTTGATAATAAATCCCATGTTGCACAGGTCCACATTTTGTTCACGTGCACAGGGCTACTTTTGCAGGAGCAAGCAGTTACGGAGCTTATTCTGGACAAACTACTTTCGGGCCCAAAGATAATTGTTGCTTTATAATTCTTGTTCAATGCATTTTGAAGCTAAAGGGTCACTTTCTTTATACAGCAACATACTATATGTATATACTTCAAAGGGAAAAGTAAGGCCTGGAGTCCTGAACGTGCAGTTTGTGAATTGCTGATATTCTTAATTTAGAATTACATCAATTGTCATTATTTTTATATCCGTAGTTACAAGAAATGCGAGGGACCATAGCACCAGTTTTTTTGGAAATGCTACAAGTAAATCAACCCGAAGGAGTTATACTGAACATTGAACCGGTAAAAATATGTATTGTTGCGATAATATTTTTTGATATTGTGCGTGTTTTTTTAAATGACCCAATTTCAAGATATTCCAAGAGTGCTGATTTTCAGTCTGTTTTGGTTGTATCTTGCAAAAAAATAATCAAAATTTTGGGGTCTTATGTGACGCACTAGATCTGTTGGTGGCCAACCTGTGAGCTATATACCATAGTATCTGATTGTTTATTGATACAATTTAATTTCTTTTTCAAATACTTGTAATTGAAGAATTGTGCTTAAAATTAGAAATGTTCATATGTATTGTATGATTTGTATGGCCTTACAGGCCTTACAAACAAAATATGTCCAGTGTTTGTTCAACCATTGCATTTTTTACTCTCTGCATTCAGCATTCACAGTACCACCATAAAGAGAGATACATCCAGAAAGAGATTCCTAAGGATCTACTATGATGAGATGCCACCCGTCTGTGACTTTACGGAACTCTAGTGCAAAGCTATAATGCTTAGATCCTATGCCAACTCCATGGTATATCCATGGTTGCACATTAGATGTTGCCTGGATGTGTCTGGATGTGTTGAAGTGAAGGTGAATGCCACAATACTTGATGCAATTGCATTTCTTTTTCTTTTTTTTTGTAGCTGAAGTCCCATCCCCAAACACTATCCTCAACTCCGTTCACAAGATCAACCCTACCCCAGCCCAAAACCAAACCCCACCTCAAACCCATCCAAGACCCAATCCCAAAATCAATCCCTAGTTCCAGCTACTACCGGTATTATCCTTCACATTTAGCAGTTATTATATCTATCAGATTTGACTGAGTGCCTGTATGAAACCTGAAGGACGTAAGGGTTATCTCTGCACAGACCTTTTTATGGACTATGGGCCTTATTCACGAGTTCCCTGAACGTATTTCATTAAGTGTTAACTGTTCAATGGGATGGCGCCAGACTATTTATGCAGGCACAATGCAGCCATACACTGTCTTTTTTTTTTAATCAGGCTTTAAACATTAGGGGAATTTAAAAATTACAAATTTAAAATTATTCATTGAAGCAGAATGCAATTAATTAGGAATTAACTTGCTTTCGTTTCTCTTCGCAAGTTCCAAAAATAAGATTTTACCTCACTTTCAATTCAATATGGCCGACTCGTGAATAAAGCCCATAGCCGCCAGACCAGAAATGTGCAGTGAAGGAAATATGTTATGCTGCATTGTGAAACAGTACACAAATAGTACATGGTTTGAGGGATGATACTGAGGGGAGGTAATATCGAATATCCACCTGAACTACACTACATTTTAGTTGTTTAATTATACCTCGTACATATTCACAAACGATTTCATGAAGTTTTCTCGGCAAAATGTTGTTGTGCCCTATCTTTTCATGTAGCTGCTGCATGCTGCTAGGGCGATGTTCGCATGTGCACTCTACCCCTGTGCGCTAGTTCCATGATTGCTTTGTAAAGCGCATGTGTAGAAGACTTGCGTACTGGTAACTAATGCCATGGTCTACTACGCATGCGTATTTAACCTATGTGCGAAACCTTGCGTGCATGCTTCATAAACAGCAAAACTAGGGGCTGACAAGTGATGGTGAATGGAACAGTGAGAACTCAGCTTCCGATCATGAATATGTACATGTATGAGGTATAGTTATTTGCACTGCACAACATCCCTGTTTGTAGATAAACTTTCCCAGGGTGCAATATGCAGCATACCTTCACTGCACACTTCAGATCCTTCTGTAAAATGGTCCATGGTGAATTTGTGAATTCTCAAAGCTTCACATTTCACAGTTTGAAATCCTGTTGTTATGACCAAAAGTGTGGTCCAATGTAAAACAGAGTAAACAAAAACAAACACCTGAACAGGATATACTTTATAGTGTATTGCCCAGATTTATTACAGAAAAGGCACACAAATACAGATAAAAGATTTATTGCACTCAATTTGCCCAATGGTTTCAACTAGCCATTATCCATTTATCCTTTCAGAAAAATTACCACTGGGGAAGGAACAATTGCAGAGCACACTACTAATCTACTTAATTCAGGATTTGCATGACTTCCTTTAAGCAAAATTTCAAAAAGATTCATCGTCATGTTTTATTTTAAAGCTGGAATTTTGCAAATGCTTTATATGAAGGGTTCTTGAACGTTCCAAGAAAAGAAAGAGAGAATTCGACAGTGAATGTAAAGCCCCTGCAGCCTATTTCACCAAAAAGTGCATAACTTACACCATCCGTAAGACTTCCCCAACAAATTGATTTTGCAGCTGTGCAATAAACATGATCGATGTCATGAAACTTATACTGGGATAATAGCATCTTTGATGGCTGTGTATGATTTTGTTCAGGCATGAACAGTCATTAATAAATACCTTGGAGAGTTGATGGTTTCTGATTGGTCGAGACTCGATCACGTGGCCGGGCATTAACAGTGATAATGACCGGCTTCAAAGAACAAGCGAATAAATGGCCCCTGAACCAGCATTGATCCAGCCCCATAGAAGGCAATGATTGGCCAAATTTACAACAGTCATACGGCAGCTTGTAACAATACAGCACTGCACATGCGCTCAACCACCTTCGCGTGAGACTGACGCGCACGTACGCAACACAGTTGCTATGGGTGCGCACGCGTAAGGAAGTTTTGAAACGACATCGTACAGCGACAGTGCACTATACTGAGGATGTTACGACGAAAGCGTAGATCTACGATTTATTTTCTGTAAATACTTTGCCCATCAACATATTTACCTTTCCTAAACCAAGCATCTTTGTAATTCTGGACACAAGGAATGTGTAAACGTAATTTCAGCTTCCTCCATAAGGTAAAAATATGAAAACATTGTTGTAATTTGTTTGGCTACGGCAGCAGAAGTCGTACGCGTACGCAATGAAGACGTTGCAATTGTCCAGCGCAGCCTGGGCCTGGCTGTGGTGTATATAACAACGCTTATTGAAGAGACAGAGTACCACGCATAAGCTAAAATATGGCCCATGAACATGAACCAAAAAAAGTCTGGAAATATCGCTGGAAAAAAGTCACAAAATTGGAGCATTTTAACTGTTTATTTCGTTAAAAAGGTATTTATTAATGGGAATAACAGTGTGAGGATCCGGTCTTCTCTGCGTGATAATTAACAGCGGTCACCCCCACACCCTAGCCCTGGTGGACTCCCTTTCCTCCCTACGTTACGGTTAGTCGTATTGCAATGAAGACTTCGTCCAACCTGGGCTACCCCACACCCGGTCATTATCACTCAGCGAAGACCGGCTCCTCACACTGTTATTCCCTTATTGAATCACCTCTGCTGTGTCTTCTATCAACTTAAGTTGTGCAATGAAAGGTTCCACGACGACAATTTGCGTCTAAATAGTTCATTTTCAGTTGCTACTCCACCTAAAAGGATTGCACAAATTACACCATAATTTGTTAGGCAAGTCGCGACTTGCGAAATATGAAACTTTTGTGAAATGTTTCATAAGTGATGACGTCATAATTTGAAACCTTGCAAAGTTATATGTAATTGATAAAAAAATAACAAGGGGCGATTTGGTTAAATTTGGATTGATGGTTTTTAAATTAAAAAAAGGAAACCCTATTTGATGTACTGCTAGGCAGCGCCCTTTCAAATGATGACGTCATAATTAGTGGATGAGCAGATAACATCAATTTTGCAGTGGAATCATGCACAAATCTGCCCAATTGGCCACTTGAAAATCCAAGACGGCCGCCATTTTTCAAGATGGCCGCCAAAATAGCCGTTAACTATTTTTTTCATAGAAATGCTTCTATTTGGTCGATTTGGATGATCCTGGTATCGATATCTACGTTTTCAGGCATGCTGGATTCATTTTTGACAGTTTCAGCGGCATTATTAAACTCTTAGTGGTGGAAAATAGCAAATTCATTTGAAAATAACAACAAAAATACTCAAAATACCGTCAAACACTTTTAATTACAGTTTCAATCGAATAAACACAATTAGGATATAAATGTGCACGGAAATAATTGTTCTGATTGGTAAAGAAATTGTAATTCAAATTAAAATAGTAGTCAGACCCATATACAATGTAGACAGAATACCCAACATAATGTCCTGTAGTTAATTGACATGGCTTAACAACATATTTTTTTCGAATATGTGGGTAATATGATCTCATGAGGTGACTAATTGAATTTATAACACCTCACCCACAGATTCTGTGTCTTGATTGGCCGAGAGCGAGTCACATGTTACTTTCTAATTTTGCTATCTTTCTGTGCACGGCCAAAAGTACTATACCCGTAGTAACCAAAGTACTATACCATTAGCAATCAAAGTACTACGGTATTTCCACGGCGCGGTATTTGTGTGCAAATGGATGCTTGTGTGTGCGATGCGCATAGCACGTATTGTTCCAAAGAGAGCGCACCACAGACTTGGGTTCAAACATTTCGTGAAGGGGTAGTTTGAGAAATACATTTTTCATCAATTTTGTATTGAAATTGAAGTTTATTTTAACTGTGTTCAGATTTAAATAATTTAAAATATTAAAATCAAGCAGAATCTGTGGGTGAAGTGTTATAAAACAAATATTGAATGCTTTATCTCATGGTGTAGTAAAACTAGCCTCCTTCGGTGATCCATGGACTATTCTATTTTCCCTCGGCTTCGCCTCGGGAAAATAGAATGTTCATGGATCACCTCGGGAGGCTAGTTTTACTACACCACTCGAAGCATTCAATATTTGTATACTATTGCGCTCTATAAACACAATACCATAGATGCAACTAGCGAGGCATGGACATATTGTACTGTGAGCAATGTTTTAATATAATATTCATGTCAGGGAAGGTTGTGGACCCGGCTGTCACTCGCAGGGACTAAGCCCAGATGGACTTCATCCTGACCAGGAGGAAATGGCGTAACAACATGATCAATTCTCGGGCCTAACATCCTCTTCAACCTCTAATAAATAGTTCTCAGTTTTGGTCGCTTTAATGATTTTCTTGTGGTCTTTTCCCCCGTTATATCCGTTGCATGGCTATAGGTAGCTTAGCTTGTGATACCGTCAATAGCAATAGCTGCTTGTGCATGGGGTGTGGGGTTGTGGTAGAGGAAGTACCTTTGTTTCAGCAGGCAGTTACATCCCCTGGATGGAAGCTGGACCATACCTGTTGCGGCAAGCTGTCAGGAACTGACCAAATAATCGTGGAAGAAAGGTTGCACCTACCCAGGTGGACTCCCTTACCTCCCTACGTTAGTCGTAATACATACCATGAAGACGTCGTTCAACCTGGGCTAGGTTGTACCCGAAAATGCACTTTCGATCCGCAGTCCCCTGAACTGCACTGCATGTGTAGCTGCTTGTTTGAGAAGTAATACTCTTAATGAGAATGCATACACTGAAAGCTACATACATTGTAAGGACATTTTGTAAAACATTTGAATGACAATGTTCTTTACCAATCAGATTAATTGCATATCTCCAGATTTATTTCATGAAACATCTTATATTCCAGTTCTTCAATCATGTGTAAGAATTTGGACGGAGTAGAATTTAATCAGAACCCTTCTGTATACAAACATAATT